TCCTCTTCATTTTAAGGTGGTTCAGCTGATCAGCACAGAGATTTTGCCGTTTGCCAATTTCATCCCCAAAGACTTTGTTGGCCAGATCATGGCTATGCTCAATAGAGGCTCCATTCACTCACAGTCTCCCTCATTCACAGGTAAGATGTCGCTTTGGCAGCTACATTTTTTTAATTCACCTGTATTTGGGACACTTATGGGAGAGCAGGGTGGGCAAATGCTGTAATCACACAGTAACCATTAAGCCATCCCTGTCAGACTCTTCATGTGTTGGGCAAGACAGTAAAGCCCTGTCTGTCCACTCACTGTAAATCACTCTGGAGAGTGGCGTCAGCCAAATAATCTAATAAGTAAATGGTTTTCTGTTTACAGAGGCAGAGATCGATGTGCGGATGAGGGAGGAGTTTTCTAAGGTGTGTTTCGAGACACTGCTGCAGTTTTCTTTCAGCAACAAGGTGTCCACTCCACAGGAGGGCTACATCTCTCGTATGGCGCTCTCCGTGCTCCTCAAGAGATCGCAGGATGTTCTCCGACGCTACGTAGAGGATGAGAGGTTGAGCGGACGCTGCCCCCTGCCCAGGTACACTCCATTATATACCTCTGAATAAATCACATGATGCACCTGTTTTGCCCAAAAATCAAATTTTGCATGTTTCTGGACAGATGTGCCCATCAGAAATATAGCTCCAAACACTGGTGGTTGTTAATGCCATGATTTTACCAAAGAGACATTTTGCAATACAAAATCAATATCCAGCCATGCATCCACCATTTTTCCTTTTCTTTTTTGTAAACAACACAAAACCACTGTACTTATACACACTAGCAAGATGTGGGTTGGGTGTAACGTGTCATTCTGCAATGTTTATTTTTTTTGTAAATGGAAGTTAAATGATGCCCAAACAAATTGAACCATTTATACAGAACATAGCAAAGGGGTGGTGGGGGGAATTCAGAAAAATAGTATAATTAAAATATACACATGAATAGCAAATGCAAGGTTTGCTATTAAATTCAGACAAAGAACATTTTAAAAACTAAAATGTTTTAAATACAGTATGAATGGGAGAAACAAGTAAATCATGGATTGCATTAAAGCGTGTTGAAACAAAATATGAATATAAAAAAACAGTAAGAAATGGTCTCGCAGACATAACATCATACAACTCTGTGATGTACTCCACCAGTTTTACACATCAAAGTGTATTTGAAGGATTTGGACAGTACGACTGCATCTGTGGACAAAAGTTGAATAAAGCCTTTTGTGGCATGAAATCTGATCAAATGGTGGCTGGCACTAACAGCTTGAGGCTACGTTAGCCACTACTAGCATAACACACCCAAATCTCTGACTGTACTGTCGACAGTCTAGTTGTATTGTATTGTTGGTAATGTAGTAATGTGTTTTTGACAAGGAAGAAGAATGTATGGAATTAAAAAGGATAGACATCTCTGGTTCTGCTGCTGCATTCATTTTGAAAAAAATTTTTTATAAGCTGTCAATCCTGTGTCTGACAATATTATACGAGTGCAATGATACATTTATGGAGTACTGGAGTATTGGTGATGGTGTGAGAAAACGACCTAATTTACAATAAATACCTACTGTTAATTGTATATAATAAAAGTTGGTTTGTAAGATACAAACAGGACAGAATAGAGTTCACATAAAACTGACTACACATTGGTTAGATTTTGACATGGGCAGGTGGAGTTTTCTTTTTCATTTAATCAACAACAAATGCTTTATCTCTCTGTACATCTAATCGTAGTGGTTAATACATTTTGAGTCTTGATCTCCTGGTTAATCGTATTTAATCTGTTTAACAACCTTTGGTCTGTTTCTGACTGTTTTTGCTGCTTATCAGAACTAAATGTCTTGTGTGTAATTCTTTAATTCTTTGGTTGATGGTTTCTATATAGTCATGTAAAGTAAACCTGTGCCAGACCATTACTCATCTTTTCCTATGAACTTGGTTGATTTTTTTTTTTTTTTGGTATTGGTTTGCTAAATTAAATTGAATTTATTCGGTCATAGACTTAGAAGTTTATAATTTTTCCTACAAGGGTGCATCCAGCCGCTCTCATTATTAACAATCTGAGATCTAAATTAGGTGTTGATGCTCATCCTCTCTCCTTGTTTTTTCACCCATCCTCTAACTTTGTAGCTAATGGCGCTTTTTGGTCTTTTTTTTTTTTTCATTTTAGGCAACAAGTGACAGAGATTATCTTTGTCTTGAAAGCTATCAGCACTTTGATGGACTCTCTTAAAAAGACTCAGCCCGAAAATGGTGAGTATCAAACTGTGTCAAGAATTAAATAGATCTTAGAAAGAGGTGACAAAATAAAAAAAAACGTAAAAAAATACAATAATGGCGCTATCTATCGTCTATTCATTTCAGATAAATGTGTCAGAGTACAGTTGGGACCATTTTTCAAATGAGTTTTATCCCCAATCTGGGTAGATGTGTTTGTTTCCAGCAAGGTCAATTACAAGAAACGATTTTTTTTTTAACCGCAATAGATTAAAATGAGATATTCTAAAATTACGTTTTTGAAGTGCCCTTCAAGATGTTTGCGTTACAGAACTCATTTCCATACGCCTGTGGGAATTTTATGAAGGAAATGATTTCTTTGATTGCCTTCTATCACAGTTCATATTCTCTTCTTTCTCTCCCTCCCATCCCCACTCCTTCTTTTGTATTTTCTCCCTCCTTTTCTGTGATTCTTTTGTTTACTGCCTGCAGTGGATGGCAACACATGGGCTCAAGTGATTGCCCTGTACCCCACACTGGTAGAGTGCATTACATGCTCCTCGTCTGAGGTGAGCTCGGCCCTGAAGGAGGCCCTGGGGCCCTTTAAAGACTTTATGCAGCCACCCGTCTCCAGAGTTCAGAACGGAGAATCCTGACCAGGCTCGCCCGCAGATCTTTGTTTTTATAAAGAAGAAATCTTGAATGTGTCTTCTCGACCTACGTGCTTTACAAGTGCACGGACATGAACTCCATGTGGGCCCCATCTACGGTGTCATGAAGCAACCCACGGTGAACAGAGAGCCGAGGCCCACCCAGACCACGTTGATGACCCTGACCTTCATACGCATCATCGTATGCTTCTCATGTGAGCTGATAACGCCTCTCTGCTTCCACTCCCCCCCCCCCCCTCCATTCTCATACGGACTGACTGCACTCTTGTGTTAACTACAGAGATTTAAAAAATAATAATTCCAGTGTTGCCTCTGGCTTTAGTTTGTTCATTCTCCTTCCGAGGCCGAATCGATGTACAGTGTGTGGTGATAGTGTTGATGATGTAATTAAGAAAAAAATGCAAAAACTGGGGCTTTATTGATCTTAAAAATAAACACTTAGACTTTTGCAACATTTTCAGCAGTGATGATTTTATGCAAGAAAACAAATCTTACTGTAACATTCCATGTCATCTTTAGCCAGCCATCTGAGAAGGGATGTACTTGTCTGTATAAAATAAATGGGACAATTCTACAATCAGCTCTGTGCTGTGAGTGTGCTCAGTTACAATGCATGTTAAGTGCCTTATTATACCACGAGTAAATCATAAAAAAAAAAATCTGTTTAATATCAATGTGACATCCCTGATGAAAATGACTCAAGTGAACAGGTTCTTTGGGGTTTATATTGATAATTTTTTTATCAGCAAGGATGTCCCTGCAACATTCCCTTTTATTTAAAAACAATATTTGTAGCGTCCCTATATACAAAGTAGCATTAGAATTATCTAAGTGTTATATGGGGCGATGTTACCATCATAAACCTAAACCTATTACAGTTCATAAATGTGGTCCTGGTTCAAATTTGGTGTGATTCACTAACAAATAATTATTGAAAAGCATTTATTTTGCATTGCTTTCATCTTTATGTTTTTCTTATGATTTTTTTGTGTGTATTCAGGGTCCTCTGGCATTTTAATTGAAGGAAGGACCTTACAAGTAGTAGTTTCCTATAGACCCATGTTTCATGCTGGAAATACAAACTCCGGAATTTGAAATGCAAAACCTCAGAAACACAAACCAAAGGGGAAAAGAAATGCTGCTATAACACTCCATACCAGCAGGAGGTGCAAGTATTTAAATTGCAGCAATTAGTTTTTCCTGTAGGTGGTGACATTTAAATGTCTACTTCCCCTGGTCGGCATCTGCTGCCTTCTTGTCCTATAGGTCACTTGGCGAGTGTAAACCTGTAGACATTGATAATATGGACTTTAAGCAGCATTGGTTAAATGGACGGCTGTGGCGTTCCACTAGCATCTGTGATTTAATTTTTGCTCGTATGTAACATTTAGGAGGATCTATTGTCAGAAATGGAATATAATATTCACAGGTCACCTGAAAATAAGAATCATTATGTTTTCGTTACCTTAGAATGAGCCGTTTTTATCTGCAACGAAATTGTGGCTCTAGATAGATCCTTTTGCCCTTTTTTTGCAGGTTTCACAGCCACCGTAGTTCCTCCTACAAACTTCACAGGCCATTGTCATTCGCAGGTCCCAGGTACAGACACCAGCAGCATTCAGTTAGCTGCAATCTGCAACTTCACCACTAGATGTCACTAAATCCTACACACTTAACCTTTACCTGCTCTCAGCCCATTTTAGGAGAAAAACTGTAACAAGAAGTAGCCACTGTCAGAGTTAAATTTTGCATAGTGATTTTCGGTTCAACTACTATGGCAATCCGTTGAAATATATAATAACGTTGCTGCTTAAAGTCCCTAACAACCAAAAACAGCCTCCCCTTGTGGTTAGTTTGCGGCCCTGCTAAACATGAATATAAGTGTGAGTTTGTGGCTGAGAAACGAACCACTTCTATCAAATATGTCAGGCTGAATCACAGAGAAATGTATTTATAATGCTGCAGAACCCCCTTGAATTTTACATTAGTTGTAATGATTCTGAATTTGACCTAATTCCACTATAAAATGATCATATTGTAATGTTATTGTGTTGTGCATCAAGTCCACATTATTAATGAAGAATACCACCACATTATATTAATACCATGTATTGATATTAAGGTGTGACTTAAATCTAGTTTGAAGTTGAGGGACATTTTAAATAGAACATAATGAGGCTTCGGTGTACAAGTTTAGTCTCTCACTCCCTTGTAGTTGCAGTTACAGTACTGGGTGTCACTGTGCAGTAGGTTACAACCCCACAGTTGTACAGGAAGAGAAAACACCCCTATTACACTCGACATTACACCCCTGCATGCTGTAGGGACTCCTCGGCTCCCTCTCCGTGTCCCCTGGAGGTCCCCGAGCCCGAGTTTCAGATCATCCAGTAGGTCATATGAGGGGAAGAGGAGCGCTTTGTGGTTTGCGCTGAAGAAAAAGAGGGAGGAGGAGGAGGAGGAGGAGGAGAGCAACGGAGGGAGCAGGTCTGCTTGGGCGGGGTTTCCCTCTTATTTCAAGGCACAGAAGAGGAGCGAAGCGGGGAGAGTACGGACCCGCTCCAGCTGCTGCATGGGAATGTCGCCGTAGTCGAGGCTGGTTGCGTTTTCGCTAGCTTTACGATATTCTTCCAGTCTCTCTTTTCTTTTCTAACATCCTCGTTTTCCCCGTCCTTCTCTCGCATTGTGACCACGTACTGGCTGAGGTAGTAGTTTGTGCTGTTGGTTGGGTTGTGACACTGCCCGCTATGGAGATGACTGCGCAAGCTACTGCCTTGCCAGTGCTGGTGCCTTCACTTCCAGCCGAGGGAAGGAAAAGAAAAAAAAGCCGCCCCTGCTCTTCAACGCTGTTATACGGTTTTTACAGGTAATGCACACTGCTGGAGTGGCATAGCTACCGTGTTCCGTTTGAAGCTGCGATGTAATGCTTGTAAAAGGAAAAATGGCTTGTGGTTGCATTGTTGCATTTTGAGCTGAAGCCGTTTGAGAACTGTATCATGTTTCATCCAATAAAATAGAGAATAACTGTGGGGGGAAAAGCACTTTGTTGTGTGTAGTTTGAATTTTTTGCACTGCTGATGATTATACATTGACATGCGTTTGATTTTTTTTTTAAATTGGTACCATAATCCCCTTTTTTTTTTTTTTTTTCTATTTGCAGGATGGAGGAGGAAGCTTGTATGTGTTGGATGGAAATCCGATATGCAAGTTTTTAAATAATTTGTATGCACATTTTTAAAATGCACGAGGAAGTCGATATCTGCTATGGATTTGCATAGTTTTCCACCACCTCAGGCGGAGTGGGCTGTGCAGAAAGCATGTAGGTCAACAGTACTGTTGCTATGAGGAGAGAGGAGTGACGTGGCTACTGCTGCCCACAGAGGTATCCTACAATACATCTGCTCTGATACACACAAGCTGGCTTTATGGTCCTCCCCGACGTCTTTTGTTGTTAATCTTGCATACCGTCAGACACTGGGGCAGAAAGGGTGTGCTCCTCCTGCACCCAAACACCCCATCTCTGCAGGGCAGTCATAAAATCTGTGCAGTGCTGCTGGCACTGTTCACCAAATAATCTGATTATTATGCTAAATCTGGATGTGTGTGTGTGTGTGCCTCAGTGCTTGAACTCTGCACAGACAGACAGCACATGACCTAACCCCCACCCTCCACAGGCGTTTCAGCAGTGGTGTCCTCACTGAAGTCTGGGAGCGCAGCCCTGATGTGGGTCGTGCGTTGTGAGTTAACCTTTTGAAATCCTCCCTCTGCTGCTGCCTGACAGCATCTGGTTGCTCTGTATCACATTAGTATGGGCAGTCAGGGGTCTCGTGATGGGGGAGGGGACCGGAATGGGTAATGAGCTTTGATTGGCTGCAAGGGCCAGGCAGCCCGGGTCGATGAAACCCATGCAGGGTTTTCCAGTCTTGTGTTCTCAGACCCCCACTGCCCTGATGATGATAGCACGCCGCTCACTCAATGACTGACTGACTGAAGATTGAATCCTGCGTTTGACCTTCCAAGAAGACTCATGAAATATTTATGAGTTCACACTTGATAGTGTGTTAGGCAGAGTTATGTTCATCTTGGGCCACAGCTCTTCCCACTAGCATCTGTCTTGGTATTAAAACAATAAATTCTACTCCAGCTCGTCATTGTAGATAGACGTAGGTTGAAAAGGGGTGCTTTTCCTTTTGAAAAGAAGAAGCGAACTAGTAAACAACACAGGAGACTTGTTATTGTGAAGCCTGTTGAGTAGCAGCCCTACAGGTCTGCATTAGATATTTTCAAACAACTGTCTGTCTCATGTAAGAAATACAAGTTATCCAGCCTCCGGGGTAAAACCAAACATCATTTATCATATCCTGGCTGTAAAGAGAGCCAGCCTATGGATCAGTGAGCAGTGCAGAGGCAGCCCATGTCCTTCTCATCCATCTTGTGTCAAAGCTCTCATTTGTGCCGGGCCGCAGATAAATTATACTTCAGGCAGCCAAAGCCCTAAAGCAGTAAATTAGAGCCCCCCTGTGGAAAATCGGCTTGCTCAGATGGGTATCACAGCTGCACCGTTGAAGCAGCCGCACCCTTGTCCTGACAGGACAGTCAACCCTTTTGTGTACTCTGTTTTCTCCAGATACCTTCACACGTGCTGCCTCTGTAACGCATCATGTTTGGAATTAGTTCTGAAATAAATTAGTTGATGAATTGGGGAGTTGATCGTGATAAAATTATTTGCCAACATTTTTGACGGTTTGTCAAACAAAATGCCAAAAAAGTGTGATTCTCTTTGGGTTTTGGACTTTTGGTTGGACAAAAGAAGCAACCTGATCATGTCATCCTGGGCTCTGAAGAATTGTGATGGTCAGTTTCACAATTTTTTGATATTGTATGTAATAAATGATTAATCAATTTGAAATCAACAGAATAATCGCCAGCAAGAAGAGCTTAAACAATTGCTCGGTTGCCAGGAAATGATTTGGCAACTATTTTGATAATTGATTCCTCGTTCAAGTCGTTTTTCAAGAAAAAGTGCCAAACATGATGCTTCCAGCCTCTCAAATGTGAAGATTTGCTGCTTTTTTCTAGTCTAGACATTATAGTAAACTGAATATCTTTAGGTTTTGAACTGCTAGTCAGGCAAAAAAACAATTATTTAGAAAATAAAAAACAAAAATCATTGATAAGAAATTAATTAGTTGGTAGTTGGTTTGTTGCAGGTCAAAAATAATATTAAAAAAAAATAGTATCTTTTCACTTAATCCTCTCCTGAAAGGAAGCTTGAAGGCGGTGGCCCCAGCAGCGCGTCACCTTTCCAGTACAAGAGATGAGTATTTCACTGCAAGCCCACTCAGCATCTCCCTCTGATCTGTCCACGGGTGGGGTGGGAGTGCTGCAACCTTGGAAAAACAAGCCACCCACAGGAATGACTGTGTCATCATTGCCGTCATCCAATCTGGACCACACACACACACACACACACACGTGTGGAGAGTAGGAGTGGAGTGCCAGATCAGTTCTGGCCTGACTGGAGGAGGATGCGGCGCTGGCCTGTGGGGACCAGATGGCCCTCCAGCTCCTGCAGAGGACCCAGGAGTGTGAGACTCCCACTATAGCACATTATGATCGTCTTGAGTGTGTGTAAAGGCATTCATAAAGATATGTGTGTGTGTGTGGTGCTCATATTTTAAGGTGTGGGTATGATAAGAGGAATTGAACTAAACCTGAAAGTGAGTTATAAAAGTTACTATTGTTAAAGACGTGTGTGTTGTCCAGAAACCTTTCCTGGCTTTGTGCTCTGTTATCAATCAGAGCATTTATTCCCCATCCTTTGTCTCTTGTTTACTTTCTTTACTTTTAGCTTTATTTCAGACATAAAAAAGTCAAAATTCTGCTTAAAAAAAGAAAATAAATGGAAAATAGGAAATAAAAGAAAAAGATACTTGCTAAAATAAAGAGATAAAAGTAAGGTAGAAATCTTACATCAACCAACAGAGACATGACATTTCAGTCAAAATTATCTGTGCATATTAAGTCATAGCACAGAGTTACAAAATGGTTCGTAAGGAATAAAAGAAATCAAAGGATACCCTGTATAGGCCCTTTTCACGGGAGACATTTTGACATGTCTGAGTAGGAATAGCGCAGGAGTTAATGGTGAAATTCATGATGGCTGAATTCCATTTAGCTACCTCAGTTTCAGATCCCTGCTGTTGTGCAGGCTGAATCACTGTCAAACCATCATGACTTTCTTATTTTAACCTGCTATTGCTACAATCCCATCTACTATGAACTAATTTACTAGCTAACCATTTTTTGCAAATGTATAGAACTTGAAAGTATCTGATAGTGTTGGACACATCACTGTCCCTGGCTGATTGTAATAATAGAATTTTACTCGATGTGTTTCAGGTTTGGCCCTCTGTAAAACTGTTAGTAGCATGAGTTTCACATTTTTAGTGTCACATTGTCTCAAATCATTATGAGGCTATTTTGATCCATTTCTAAATAAAACGCTGGCGATTATCAAAACTAAGCTCAGCGATGCTGGCTTTCTGAAAGGGCATTAGAAGCTGATTCACACCAAAATTGTAAGCGCAAGGATGTGTTTAATGTAAGTTCTCTGATACCAAAAAGCGTCCTTTCACTGCTCCACAATCCATCTCTCACTATGGAATGCATATTATTTCATATGATACCTCTGTCATGTCATGAACTGTGAAAGCTTCAGTCCTGTGGTTTGATTTCTATCTTCGCTCTTTCAAGTATTTGATATCACAGCAGTTTCACCTAAGACTGAGGAGGTTATTCCTCACTGTACCACACCCACTCTCACTGTATTAAAGTGAAAGGAGAATTGAAATGGGGATGAACCACTCATCTTTTTTTTGGTCAAGTTATCAAGTTGTCTTTCTTCACTTCGGGATGTGTGTGTGTGTGCTTTAGAGTCAAATTACGCCCCTCACAGCAGCTTCTACCATGAAATCTTCTGTCAGGCTATTCTGTGAACTGATACCCTTCATCCACATATTGCTTTGGGACTCACTTGACACAGTTTGTTAGAGTGGTGATAGTCTTATTCTATACAGTTACTGGAGTGTGAGGGAGTCTGTCTGGGTGTTTTAACACAGTGCAGGCAGGCAGTGATGAAAAAAGTATTCAGATCTTTTACTTGAGTGAAGGTTGCAATGCTACAGTGTAAAAATACTACTGATTACTTAAGTAAATGTACAAAAGTATTAGCATCCATATACTTAAAGTACAAAAAGTAAAAGTACTCATGAAAAATGGCTAATTTCAAAATCATATATTGTATTAATGGTTTATCATTAGCGATGCTTTGTACATCACTTTAATGTTAAAGCTGGTAAAGGAAAGGCTATTTGAATTCCATTATATACTGCTGGGTAACTTAATAATATACTGTGTGTCACACACACACACACACACACAGATATATACAAGAAATACCTTATATCAAAATTGATTAGTTGATTTAAAATAAAATTTAAAATAGTCAAGTAACATACCTCAAGATACAGTAGGTCATGATGTTGGTTTTAGGATTTAGAAATTTTAGGATTAACAAATATTGTTTCTATGAATGTTAAGTAATCTGTTACTTTCCCCAGTTATCTGTTTCCTCCCACAAACCATGCTACCATTCTCATGTAAGTGCATCTCTGAGTCAGGATCAATCAACATCTCATATATTTTTTTATGTCTACTATGCAGGTGGTACACCAACTTTTCTATCAATGACACAGCAGAGTAATGTGGGAAAAAATATTGAAAAGGTCAGAAATTGTCCATTTTTTAATAGAGCAGAAAAGTGACCATGTAAACCTTTTTTTTTTTTTTTTTTACACTGTTCTAGGTTTCCAAAACAGTACAAATTATGTATTTTCTGTCAGTAAGATGTACATCACTTATCGTAAAAGAAAGAAGTGTCCACTGAAAACGTTATTTACATTTTGCACATTGAAATTAAATTACTCTGTCTGTTCCATGTTTCACCAGTTACAGACACTCGTACAGCAGTTAACATACAATATTTGTGCACAATTAATAGCAGCTGAAAACTACGACCTGAACCTAAATGAAACAAACTGTGGAAGACCACTGAATCAGGGAACAAAGATGATTGTAGAGAGACATAAGGTACATGTTTGTTTAACTGTCTGCAATGATAATCTTCTATATACTGTTGGAGGCACCTGCTATTCATGAGGATGGGTTTATCTTAATAGGGACAATGTATCCAACTGATACTGACAAAAGGTAATAAATTAGGTCATGGCAGTGTTTTGTTTTTTTTAGCATTCTACATATTTTCCAAAACAGTATAACCTTCACACAGTTCCCTGGGAGGCTTTTTTTCTGCTCAGTGCTTTTCTAAAAACCTTTAGAAATCTTGCAGATACACGAGCAAATCATACCAATGTAACTTTAATAATGGCACAGGTAGCAGCTGACAATTCAGCCGACATCGCATGCAAACAGTCAAAGAAGACAAGGACAGCATGTGTTATGTGTAATACAATAAAAGGAAGAAAATTATGAGGTAGATGGCTAATGGTGAATGAGTGCAACAGATATTATTCGGATACTATGTTATTCCTTCTTAATTAATAATAATTATGTAATAATAATTAATGTAAAAACTGGGCTATTTAATATTTAATAGTTTGATGAGATGTAAGCAGGGTTGAAGGTGACTCCTCATAGTAGTGTATTCTTCATTAATGTGTTCAATTTCAACGGAAGCAGCAGTTTTCCTTAATAGTGAGCACAGTATTGCAATGCAAGGGGTACAAATGAACCGAAATAGCAACTGCAGCATTAGGAGAACCAGGTGACGTACAGTCTACAGAAAGCTTTTTTTTTTCAATTTCTCCTTTTGTGAAACAGACTAACAATTGCACGTGGCTAAATTAAAAGCTCTACATGGGACAGAGGAGGTATGATTCATATATGCAGGACATCAGTCTTCAGGTTAGTTTTTTTTTATACACTGTACAGGTGTTCAACCAAACACACTTATCAAATGTCTTACGCCTGGGAGTATTTACATTTTCACATTTATAAATATTGTGCATTAGTTAGTAACAGCAATCCTGAGATGCACGTCACCATCGCATCCATGAGAGCCCATGCTCTCAAACCCTCGGGCATCGCCCCACAAATAGATTCAAAATGGCTTCCTCGAGATTGAATAAAATAAAATAAATCAGTCGTTCAACTCTTCAACAGTTATTTTCATGATCCGGCTATTAACAGTTTCATTTCTATAAAAAAAAAGAAGGGCCAGAAAAAAATGAGATCATCCTGATTAAAGATGATCAAGGGGAAAATGGCCTGGACATAAATCCCAACTCTGACCAGAAACATCTTGGATCCCTCAGCGGAGGAGAAGTCCACACTAAAGCACTTTAAAAAGAGCACAAGGGATGAGGGAAACTGCAGAGGTCAAGTTGGGGGATCAAGGCAGGGCTATGTTTCAGTGGTAGTTGTAGTTTCCTAGCTCGGCTAGTTCTGCTTGTTGCCGTACATGAGGGGAATGATGTAGACAGAGATGTCATCTCCAGAGCCTAATCTGTCATTGGATATCCTCCAACCTCGGTCCTTCAGCACCCCGCGTGCTCTCATTACGAGGTCTTGAGCTGCCATTGTGTACCTGACGTAATAAAAGTGATAAATGGTTAAGGCGTTGTCATATCATGGTGATATACAATAAGATAAATGGTCACATCTGATAATAATAATGATGCACAGTATTTTGACTTGAAGTACATCTGCCCACAACCAGATTGAGGGAATGAAAATACTGTGGTGAACTTTTGAAACCAAGCTAACAAGAGAAGTGTCAGAGCACCCAATTAATAGTCTTACAAGCTTTCCCTTGATATCAGAGACATTACTTATCTAATATTTGGAAATTTGCATAATTACGACAAGATAACAACGTTCATCCTCTACAAATAAGACAGGGGTGAAGGGAAGTTCAGGCACGACTGGCGGCTGCAGCTGTGTGATGAGTGAACGTGCCTGTGCTGGTCGTCGGGGTCGCAGTTCGCCAGGAAACAGGTGACTGCTTCAGCTACTTCCTGGTTAGAGAGGACGTCCCACAGACCATCAGTTCCCAGCACCAGAACATCGTCAGCCTCATGCTCATACTGCGCCAAAGGGTAGGCTTTGACCTGAAGGTGAAGGGGAAAAACAAGGCAAAAGTTGAGAGGTGCATGGTTTCTAGGAATTATTTGAACCTTTTGCAGGAAATCTCTGTGAAGATGTTACATAACAGGCTATTGCTGGGTATACACAATGTCCGAGGAAGAGAAAGAACAGGAAAAACACTTATTATTCCGACATTCACACATTATTCTAAGGTGGTTAGCCCTTGTGTTAATCATCCTAGAGCAGCTTGTTGCCAAATGAAACCAGATACGAAGTGTATAGCTCCTATAAAGATATCCAAATCGATTGTATTGGTGTTAAAGTTGGATTTTATTTTAATGTAATTGCCAGTGGAGGTGCATTTGCAGTACCTGCTAGCAGTTTTTGACACCTGTAGTTCCTTTCGGCAAATAGCATATGTTGTCGATGTTTTTTCCCTGCTCGCCTCCTTATAATTACGTTTTAAACCATATGAGGTGAATGCGGCAGGAGCTCTACCTTAAAAGGTTCACATTACCCAAAGAAAAATCTAATTTGTTTTTACTTACCCCTCATGGTATCTAGCCATACAGATTTTAAGTTTTGGTATCATTTGTCAGGGTTTTTTGATAACCACTCTAAAGATGTCTGCCTCCACATTTCAGTGGAAGTAAACTGAATTGAATTTGTGGTGCTCCAAGAATAAAAAAAATACATTTACGCTAGCAGCTTGGCACAGTAGTGATTGGCGCTAGGGTGTTGCTGTTTCACAACCATCTACATTTAGTTTTTCTTCTTACGTCCAGCTGTGAGCAGCTCTTCCATTTCTTGTGGCCAATGCATTATGTGAGAATGGTGTTCACTAATAAAAGTGACAAAATGGGAAATGTCAGTTTTCCTCACCTGCTGGATTCGAATGTTTAAATAGTTGTTGAGGTATTTCGGTCTGGACTGAAGTGACTCAGACATTACCCTAGAGTCACGCAGCTAACATTGCTGAGGCTTTAACAGCGGCATCCATCCATGTTCCTGTTATTCTCTATTGTTTCTTTCATAGAAAACTGTCCACAGGAAGATATGTGTAGTAGATTATTAGTTAAACAATGGCGTTGTTTCTTGAAGGACATATTACTGTTGAATTTTCTAAATGTAATTTTTAATTGAAATGAGTTCCAACAACAACAACAACAACAACAAAATAAATTTAAAAAATATGTTCAGATACCACTGAAATGAGAAAATATAATTTTGTAATGTGTGTAACATCACCATTTAATTCCCATTTGTTTGGGAACATCCTCCTAATATATTTTTTTTCTGAAAGCAACTGGCAACTGAGATTCTCTCAGATTAATGCCTAGACAAAAGCACACAGTGTAATAGCAACAAAATATGAACTCAAAAAGAAAAAAAAGAAAAATGCTATAGTTTGGTTGCTTCAACTAACTACTTTGCCTATTCACGCCAACTTACTGCAGAGGCTACTGCGAAAAGAGCACAAAATGACCACAGCGACCGTGAAAGCGGTTGTAATGGAATCAGAATGACCTCCGCATTGATCATGAGACTCCATGCTGTGGTAAACCTTGTGATTTAAGTCTAGCCTTGCAAGAGAGAAAAGGACTGAGGCTATCAATACATGAAAGAGAGGGCAGTTCCTAGAATCAATTTCAAAACAGGGATTTCAACAGCAAGAAAACATCTGCGGAAGAGGGGTGATGACCAAATCATTTGATTTCCAACCCAATGCCCATATTTTATCTCATGATGAGTGTGATGACTCCAAGTGTCAAAGTAAGTCTTTTTATTACCTGAGAGAAATCAGTTATTTTAACTTTGCAAGAAGGATTTTTCACAATCGCTGCAGGGTGCTCTCCCACACATATGATTCCTTTATTAGTAATTGTCAATTTTTCCCCTTCATTTCAACATCCTTCTAACGATCAGGTTTGACATGTCGTACATATACTAATAACGTGTTTACACTCTGTCTGAAACAATAGAAACTACAAGCACCTCAAAGGAAAAAAATCTGAAAAGAAATACAACATCAAAAAGTAAGCTGAACTATGACTGAACTCAGAGAGCAATGAATTAAAGATCAAGAGAATTCATGGGCTGTGTGACTACTGCAATCATGTGCAGTAGACACTGGGAAGGAAAGGAGTCATTTGAGAGCGACGACCGTTGGGGAATGTTAATGTGCACTTGACCACATAGTTCACAGTGTGGACTGTTAATGGCCAAAGGCATTTTACATCATTACCTCTGTGCTCTTTTTATCAAGAAGCAGATAAATGCTCTATGTCGATGATGTGATGTTGATTTGCTTTTTGTGAGTTCAAATAGTTGAAATTTAGGAAATCATAAATTGAAGTGACAGTAAGAACAAGCAAATTCCCAAACTTTTATAACAAATATTAAAAGTTCACACACAGTTATGTATAAAGGATAATGTAAATGAGTGATTCTAGGACATAATGAAGGGCACAATTTAAAATGAAGCCTACCTCTGGGCAGCAGGACAGGAAGGGCTTAATGTAGATGTTGGAGTCATGCACTTTGAGATTGTGGTCTCCAAGACCTCTGGTGACCCCGATGGTCGCTAACACACGAGCCTGCAAAAAATCAGTCATATGTAAAGCACAGCCTCCATTGGAGTCCAACAAAACAACAACCAAGTAAATGGAGAGGTTATTTAAAAAAAAATTATATATTTTTACTGAACAAAAAGACAAGAGGGAGACAGTGGATGTCTTAAGGGATATTTTAAGTGTAGTGTTTTATTTTTGTAGCTTTCACCGTCATTTCAATCGGTTATGATGATCATGATCTGTTATATTATAATAATATATCATATATCACCAAAGTAATGCCCACAGCCACAGTGTGGCAAGAACAGTGAGTTGAAACTGACCCACGAAATAGGTCTATAAGGACAGTTTAGGTCATAGTTTTACTGTTCACACATTAATTTCTATTCGTTTGGCTAACTTGTTTAAAACCAGTCAGTTAGTCTCACTGCTTGTGTTGGCCTGTCTGTGAGTCTACTGCATTAATCCCTGATAATTATAAAGAATAACCTGCATCACACCCCTAGCCACATTTCACTGACGGATACAGGCTACTCCCAGTGGGAATCTTTATCTGGATGGATGAGCAGCATTTAGGGCAAATAAACACAAGCTCATCGTCAGCATCTTCCAGTTCTGTAAGTGCCTAACGATCGTTCCCTGAGCCCCAGGCGCCATCAAACTCATTTGTAAGCTGTACAAAACTCTTTTTGACACCTACTGTCTGCACAGATCGCCATCGACGCTTCTAAATATGGCTGCTGGCACAGGACAGGAGAACTGGGCTAATTGAATCTACTGTACAGCGTACGAGATATGGAGGCGCATAAGGATGGGGAGAGCAGTACGAAAGGGTAAGTGAGGCCTGGTAGGAATGAGCCTGGATCAGTATGCAGCACAGAGAGGTGGATAGAAGGGAGAGCGTTTCAAAGTGGCGGCAAAGCTCCTCCGGCAGAGTAGGGGAAACATCCTGGGATTAATTGTTGAGCGTTGGGGCCCAGCAGGCTTCGCGCAGGGCTTTGAAGTGCTCTGACGTTCCTCTCCCTCGCACAAAGCCCCCTTGCTCTATCTAGCCATCCATCTCTGCGCCTCACTTCAAAGGGAGAGGACGCGACGTGGGCACGGCCAACTGTGCAAGGGGTAAACCCGAGTGTGGTTGCAGGCAGAGAGCACAGTGAGATGACATCTGCCCCAGTCATCAGTCTAACATAAATCTACAGTCTGTCTGTGTTAAAGAAAAACTGGAGAAGGCCACAGTGAGAACATATTCACATCTATCATGTTTCTAATCTGACCTTTTCAATGCAACAAGGACAAGGTGCCACACACCACCACATGTGCAGCATCACTGAGGGAATGGGAAATGTCATGAACAGTGTGCAGTGTGCTTTTGACCTTTTCTTGTATCAAAACACTGACAAGATTCTCGCGAAAGTCAGTGTTTTAGTGACGTAGTATTCCGATTAACATGTGACACTTTTCATCTGTCTTTCGTCACATTTTCATCCTCTAATGGGTGCCTCCGATGGGAGTCCCACCTTTGACCCCTAGCTGTGTAAGTGCTACATTTCTACCCGCTGAGGGACATAAAAGTCCATTAGAGCAGAGATATTTTCCGTGCCGTACGTTAGTGCAGGATGTGAATCCTTGTGGAAAAAGCAGCCATGAATGCTTTCCACTATCTGGCTCCTCCGCACAGTGACAGGGGAGGATAGGGGGGCTGGAGGTGCTAGGGGCTGACTAATGGTGCCCTAGCGAGCTTTGATTACAGGCGAGGCGCACAAGGCCGTGGGAGTAACTCCGTCAGCAAGTAGCCGCCAAGCACTTCTTACCTTCTTCCCTTCGCCGTAGATCAGGGGAAACTTTAGGTCATCGTCCTCGATGGTTTTATACGCCCTGCGCAGAGGAGAGAGGACACTTTAATGGGTTTTTGGTTTATGGCAGGCAGCACACATGTGCCCTGGAGATACATTGCCTCCGTGCACCCCCCGTAGGCCCTGCTGCTGAGGTGACTGGCACAGAGAGAAAGAGTATGCTAGGAGGAAAAAGAGAGACGGTGAGGGAAAAAAAATCCTCCCAGACATCACACAGAACGACACAGAGCCTTAGCATATTTCCCTCCTTTTTTACAGATCTTGTAAAAGTCTCCCTAGTGACAAAGAGTGAGACGTCTATCTCTTGGATTACCGTTGGTTTTCTGTGACTGCCTGCTGCAGTTGTGTGTGTGTGTGTGTGTGTGTGTGTGTGTCTGTGTGTGTGTGCATGTATGTATCTGAAAGCCTGGATGTAAAGCAGCTGAATGATGCAAGAATATCTACGTTTACATTCCCCTGCTCTCAGAGCGGTGTTTAAACTTTCTCAAATAATGAATAATTTACCATCTTCAGACTGGCACCAGCCAGAGCTGCAGTATAAGGAAAAATACTGTATGTATTCATGCCAGGTCTTAAGATACACTTTTCACCTCCACAGCTTAGAGACATGCTCGTATTGAGTATAATATTTTTCACCCATGAAATTCAGAGGAACAGCTGTGTCACTATATAGTATCAGAAACATTACAAATCTGAGCCCATTTCCAGCAGAGCTGCCAGGAGAGAGTTTTCCATTCACAACTCACATCAGGTGATATGAATAGAAAAATCTAGCTCTGTTTGAAGGCTTGAAGGAGTTGTTACCCGGATCAAATAACATTTAGTACATTTATTTTAGCCTTTACAATGGAGGAAATGAGGGAATAAATGGTTTGAAATGAATGTAGAATGCTTTTGACAATAAAACAAACATAGATGATAACAGCCATCTGGTCTAAAAAGCTGCTTAAAAAAACCTAAAGTGCAGATATCATGTGACCCAGGCCTGCCCCACACACCTTATCCAATGTATTTCAGCTGCTGTGAAGCAGATTAGCAGGGACTGGGATGGTTTTTACATTACTGCTGGTTCCACTCAGAGAGGCCATATGTTTCCACCTTAGGCGAGCGCTATACTGCTGTACTCAGCACTTTTTTAACAGTGTGCAGAGCGAGGACTATCACAGAGAACGCAGCTCACAAACACAGAAATACAGTTTGCAACCTCTTTTGAGCAGAGAGATGTTGCACAAAATAACGGTGCGTAGAAGAGTTCCTTACTAATGTTTGCAAATATTTATGGTGTTGAGAAAACCTCTAAAACAGCAGATTGATTATGTAAAAGTTAAATTTAGCATTAAAAGAGGCTTTAATTGAACTAGGGCAGGTTAAACTCTTTACCTCTCTATTAAAAAAAAAAAAAAAAAGGGAAATACTATTTCTCATATCACTCCAAACTTCTTTTATTTGAGTATTTCACCTTCAAGAAGTGTAAGGCTCCTAAATAAAAAACTACCACACTGAGACACACACTTCATGTCATGTTTTCAAAGATGTCTTGGATGAAATCCCTAGAGCCCGCTGTCGGGGACACACTCCCTCTCGAGACTTGTGTTTACAGCGAATCCATCCTGTCAGACTTGAGATAACAAGTGTGTGACAGAAAGAGAGAGATGCACATTAATCCTGTTAGAATACCTGCTTCCTGCTCTGGGACATAGCGTCCAAAAAACAACGGCGTGCAGAGTTGCTCAACGGCCGTACTGTTTGACCACGACACTGAGCGCTTTAACATTCAAGGGGACAGTTTGGACGCCCGATATGTTGCAGAGTGAGACTGACTGAGATAGGGTGGGGGGAGGGGAGAGGAAGAGGAAGAGAGGGAGCCAGGGAGGGAAGGAGGGGGGTTGTATCATCCTCTCTGCAGGTGACGGCAGGAGAGGAGGGGAGTGATGTCATCTCTGCTCGGTGCAAAGAGGGGGTGACAGAAACATTAGGAGTGTGTGTCCGCTCAGCATCCCAATCTGCGCACAGAAACAAACACACACACACACACACACACAGACACACACACACACACACACACACACACACACACACACACACACACACACACACACACACACACAGACACACACAGACACACACAGACACACAGACACACAGACACACACACACACACACACACACACACAGGCAAACATTGAGGTGACATTGTGTCAGGGCCTGTGTCAGCACCGGATGAGTCAATTGACAGTTGGGTTCGAATAAACTTTTTTAGCCAACCTTAATGAGCTTTTCATAGATTGTGTGGTGCTTTTAAACGGCGGTGACCCAGCGATTCTACGCTGTATGCCTCGGTCATATCAGTGCAAAGGCATCATGGAAACAGAAAAGGAAGAAGAGAAGGAGGAACAGGAGAGGGAGTGAAAATATATGACAGTGATGAAGTTGTGTGTTAGTCTCCCTCCTCTCTCATTCAATGTCTATAGGATCAGGGGGAGGACAGATACCCTAGTGGGCGCGGGCACTAAATAGAGACAGCTTGAGCGCCAGTCATTGTCATTTATCATTGCCCTCCTATGTGGTCTGCACACCATTTCTTTTTTTTTTTTTTTTTTTACATCTTACCAACCTTTTACTTCGCTTTTTCCTCTCCTCCTTTATACCTATTTCTAGCTTTGAAACGTACCCCGGTCTTCTTTCATTTCTCTCTGTCTTTGAAGCAATTTTCTTTCTCATTTGTCCTCTCTGTCCTCTCCAGCCACCCACTGTCCTCCCCACCTTCTCTCCGCCTGGCTGGCTGTGTTTTTCTGTGGTGTTTGGATCATGTCGAACACGACCGACCGCTCGACATTCATCACTCAGGAACGTATCGCAAAACAAAACCGCCCGCCATCCTGGACAGCGACCACCATTACAGTTTGCAAGGCCAAAGCCAGCTCGCGCTTTAGTCCAACTGGCCGAGGGAGGGGAGGTAAAGAAAGCGAGGGATGAAAACAGAAAGAGGTGGGCTGTGGACCTGTATGCCTTCATTAGAGCGTGGCCTTGATCATGGATGCCTTTGAGGGAATTGGATGACAGCTTACACCCACACATGCACAGCATGTGGGCACACTGGCTGCTCATAGAGAGTGTACATGTACAGACAGAAAGCTGCAGAGACTTAAAAAAAATAGTCATTTGTACCTACAGCGTCTGAGCTGCACCTATACAACATGACACACTTAAGTCACACCCATACACATTAAAGCAATCAGCCACGCCAGCTGATAGGGTAGACCCAGACTTAGTCCGGGTGAAATGTGCAGAACTGGGTTATGGGTAGAACATGATTAAAAATACATTACAGGCCGTCTTCATTGCTGAGACAGTAAACAGGCAGACAGCAGGCTGAGAGTTCTGGGCCCAATAAGGAACACAGCCGCTGACTGACCTACATCTGCTGAACCGGCACCGCAAAACGCAACCGCACGGAGGTGCTGTCAGGAAACATACTGCTCATCTCTCCTCAGTCACCTGCACCTACCACTCATATATCTATAAGTGCATATATATGCATAATACAGTTCCCCACAGGGGAAAGACATAATTTAAACACTTCAACAATGCAATTTTGAAATAACTGGAGTGAAAACCAGTGGTTGTAGTACTGTATTTAAGCACAACTTGATTGTTGCTAATGCTACTTCATATTTCTAATCCACTAGGCAAATATTGTTCTTGTTACATTTATCTGATAACTATTATAATAGTCACTAGGTTTATTAGGGGTTTAGATAAAAACATATGAATAATATATAAAATATACAACAATATATTCAACCTCCCATATAAACTACATAAAATTAGCTCTACCATAACCAGTTAACCAGTATGCATCAGTAATAACAGTCCACTATAATAATAAAGAATATGATTTGATACTTTAAGCACATTTGGAGGAAGAAGTATACCGTTAAAAGAAAAATATTGAATATTGTACTGCAGTAGAGATACAAAAGTATTATCAACAAAATATACGTATAAGTATTAAAGGTAAAGGCACTCATTATGCAGGAAGAAGGTCAATGTCAGTGTTACATTCTAATATAATATTGGATTATTATTACTGATGTATCAATGTGTTAGCAGCATTTTAATGTTGACGCTAGTGGAGGTAGAGCTAATTTTAGGTACTTTACATATGGCTGTTTATTGACTGTGTAACAATGCAGCATATTTTATATATATAATTAAATAGAGTAAAAAGTATATTTTTTATAATATTTCACTGTGCTATATAGTGTAGTAAAAGAAGCATAAATCTAAATAATCCTAAAGTACCTCAGAACTCTACGTAAATAATATTCTTCAGTAAATACACTCACTACTGTAACATAGTGTAAGTAACACTTTAAATACATTATCATTTACATGTGATGGAGTATTTTCTTCTATATCAGGGCAGATCAAAAGGGGTGGCAGCTAAAAAATGCCTGGCCACCCCAATTTGGTGTCAAATGTTGTCAAATTTTACACATTTATTTAGATTAATTTTAGGCTTAATTTTAATAAAAAAATACATGTATTTGGAAAAAATGTCTTAAGATTTGGAAACCATTACTTAAGGACATACTTCATGAATTATTAATACCCTTATATATTTGTATTCAATGCTTTACTAAACGTGCCACAATAATGTAATGTTTTTGAGTTATCATAGCTTTTCCATGTATCTTTTCCAAGCAAACATTAATATATGTGATTGTTTGTAATTAAATCAGCAAAAATGTCTGCCAACCCTTAGAGTCTGCATGCCACCCTCTTGCCACCCCATAAATATTTCTCTAGATCCGCCCCGGTTCTCTACTATATTTTCTCTCGCTCGCATATTTCCCTCTGTTTCTCAGTCTTTATGTATTCTCTCTTTTCTTCCTCAATCTCTTTTTTACCTCTATCTCTCCACAGAAATATAAAGAGCTGGGTCCTTGCTGTTCCCAAGGATTCCTTCTTACCTTCTTCTCACACATACAAGCAAAAATGTCAAGGCTACCTCCTGGCCTCGCTCTGACAGTAAAGCTTTGAATTGCTTTTCTGCACACTGAATAGGATAGTGTTTCCTATTATTGGCTATTTTCATTAGGGGTACATTATAGCAGATCACTTAAACACAGAGAATGTCATAAATGAATGTTTTAGTGAGGCAAAATTACATGAGGCAAGGTAGCAGAAATTATTTTCACACAAATTTCTCTCTGAGGGCTCACAAATGGATTCTACTAGATACACAGGAAGTGTGAGGTAGTGAAAAATTGAACGGTTTTAGCATTAAATAATTGAGCAGGAAGGTAGAGGATAAACCTACTGTCACACACACTGAAGGAAAATGCAAAATGGAAAAAAAAAACAGTTTGCATGCCGTGTCACTTGTGCATTGTACTAGACAAGGTCCAGTGTGTAGGATTTGGTGGTATCTAGCGGTAAAGCTGCACATTGCAACTAACTGAACACTGCTCCTGTTTGTATTTGACAATCTGGGAATGAGAACAGGCTGTGAAGAGTGTAGGAGAAACTACGGAGGCTGCGTTTGTCTCCCCAAAAAGGCCCCATCTACAGTAGGGCTGCACAATTAATTGCCATATTATCTAAATCGCAATATGGCCAAGTGCAATATGCAAATTGCAGGAAGCTGCAATTGTTTGATAAAAGTAAAATGTGTGACAAAACAGCATTATAATGAAGCATCTATTGATAAAAACGGCTCATTCTAAGGTTACAAAAATGCAACAATTCTTATTTTCAGGTGATAATACACTAATGAAAACATACTTATGAATATTATATTCCACTTCTGCCAATAGATCCTCCTAAATGTTACACACTGGACCTTTAACAGATTAATTCAATAAGTAAATTAGTCCAAAAACCATTAAATTACTCAACCCACCATCCCGCCATGGTGAAGTCACGATACAGCATCCTCTTTCCCACCTCCTTTCTTTGGACCCTCCTCGGGAATTCCAGATGGGTAAACTCATTCCCTAATAAGTGGGGCTGCATGTAGGCCTTTGATATGAAACAAAAAGAAAAAAAAAAAACAGAAAAAGAAGAAGATTGACATGCCTGGGGGATAGGAAAAACAATTCCATAGTCTATTAATCTGACAAAGAGAGCAGGCAGTATAAGAGAGACAGAGCTAAGCATAGCCGCTGTCTCAATGGGAGGGGAGGTCAGCTCTGCTAATATATGACAACTCGCTAGAGAGTAGCTGAGGATGGCTCTCTCTTACCAGGAACTGCAGTCGCCGTCTCTCTGACTCTGGTGTGAACTCTGTTGACATGGGGATGACTTCCCCGGCCCGGATAATGATAGCTCTGAGGGAGAGCAGCAGACAAAACAAAACTCTGTTTATTCAAGTTGGGACACTGTTGCTCCCGCTGCCTGCAGAGCACACGATGGTAAGCGACACAGAGGAGACACCTAACTTACATATTGGTGTATATGAGTGTGTGTCTCTCACCTGCTGTCCCCGGCGTTCCCAACGTAAAGCTTCCCCAGTAAATAGACGACCACCAGAGCAGTGCAGCCACCTGAGATGTTGTAGACTGCCTTCTCCTTTTCTATCTGCACATCCTGAATACAAACAAACACACACATACACACAAATTCATCTTCTAACGTGAGCACATACCTGATACAAACCCATCCTCTGCACATAATCATATTTCTAATCATCACAGACTTCAAAAACTTTTTTCCTATCACGCAGCGGCACATAGCATTTAAGCAAGAACCTGATAGTGAATAAAATATTGCCCTGAAACTTAAAAGCCGGCCATGATGCTATTATTAATTATAGCAACATAATGAATTCATTTATCAATAGCACCACGAGTCAAGGAGCAATAAAACGGAATGGAGACCAAAAGGATTGGAAAATTTGAAGGCACCGCTGGTTATTACACCAGTTAATTAGCCCAGATTAATTTGTTGCTAATTAAACAAAAAAAATTATAAAAAAAAAAAAAGCCATGCTATCAGTTCATTAATTAGAAGAATAATTAACCTGTCAGCGAATTAATCAAAATGCTAACATAAATTTTAACAGAGCTGCTCACACTTGGTTTAACCCTTTTATGCTTTCCATGGCTACTGTTGGTCTGCAGTTAAACAGCTCCTGAGGGACCTTTAATAGCAAAACAAAAGCGGGAAGTTATCCCGGGGAAATGGATGACCCCTCTGGCGCCTCCCTCGCATCCCTCTGTCACTATCAAGAGATTGAGTGGGATGAAATATGTTGGCGAACACATTTACAGCGAGGCCATCCCTAACATGTTTTCCCAAGAGGGATGTTACCCCAACTGAATCATATTGCCTTCTGCTACGCTGCTGACGACCTCCATTTGATCACAACTCTATCACGTGTGTGTGTGTGTGTGTGTGTGTGTGTGTGTGTGTGTGTGTGTGTGTGTACAGTGTTTGTTTCTCTGACAGGAGACAGTGGATTGTGTGCATAAATATGTGCGTGTTTGTGTCTGGAAGCAAAGTGTGTATATGAAGGAATCAATGATGAGACTGGATGTGTGTGTATGACTTCATACATGCGTGCGTTTGTGTACATTTTTATGCAGACAGAAACAGTGTGTGTGTTTGGATGCATGCACTCCATCGTCCTTTCCAGTTACCAAAAACATACACACCACTGTTGCTGCTACACACATTTCTCAGGAGTGAGAGAGCATGACAGAATATAGAGGATGGATATGTGTGTGTGTGTGTGTGTGTGTGTGTGTGTGTGTGTGTGTGTGTGTGTGTGTGTCAGGGGGGTGAACAAATGTGTCCTTCACCCCGAATGAAATATGAATCCATAGTGAGCCATACATATTTATCCTTGCTGTATCCAATACCGCTTGCTGCAGGCAAAGTCTTTAATAATGAAAATGTCTGCATAAACATCTACACCTTTCTCCTCTCCTCTTCCGCCAGGAATAATCCAACAACTGATATAACTAGCAGGCAGAGAGGGAGACAAATATACACATGCACACATGCAAAAACAGTTTCTGCACTTGACGAGGTATGACTGACAAAGCAGGAATTGCCATATTAAATCACTCCTACATCAGCCATCATGACAAAAATAAGTGACATAATCATCAAGTAAGTTAAAAAAGATTGAATCTGCCATTCTACCAACAAGTGAGAGGACAACAGACGCAGAATACTTGAAGCAGAAGTAGAAGAAAAGGTCAGAGACAATTTTAACACCATGGACATCCATACATCGTTCACATCCATACATCATCTCACAAAAACTACAAACAAAAACCAAATCTTTATGCAGTGAAAGCTTTCTTTGAACAGAATCTCAAATCTCAAAGCCCCCCCAAACACAGCAACATCTCTCAACACCTCCCATCCAAAGAAACATCGTAGAAAGGACCATTAAAGAATAGGTATTCATACGAAATGAACATAATAAGGTACGCTCGCAGTAGATGTGAGTAAATGTTTCATTGCTTGAGCACAAGTTATTTTATTCAACATACTGTGTCGTGAAGGCCACTATGTTCACAGCAGTTTTCTAACCAGCCTTCTTGCCAAAAACTCCCTTCTCCATGCTGTTTGCAGTGTTATCTGTTAGTGAGCTTGCAGAATCAATGACAGAGCCTGACTCCATCAGACCTAAAAACAGGGGAAAAACTCAGAGAACAGTAATGCGAGAGAAAGAGGTTGAACATCGGGAAAAAGATGGAAAACTCTGATGATGGGCAGTGAGACAGGTAATTAACTGCATTAATCATTTGAACTAATTAGCCAAATCAGTGGCATATCAGCTGTTTTTGAGGGCAAGAATGACCTTTGGGCAAATTCTTTTCGAAAATCTGCTAATGCTCCTTTAATATTGAGCAGTAATAATCCGCTGCCAACACACACACACACACACACACACACACACACACACACACACACACACACACACACACACAGTCAGGCACATGGCCATTGTGACTGTCAGTATTCATGCATTATTGGTTAGATTACTATTAACTTCTGCCCTGACATAGACTGGCAACCTGACCACCTGCTCGTGCCCCACTACTCACTGAATAAACCTGTGATAGAAAATATTAATAAATGTCACTAACTGAAGGAATACTTATAGACATTTTGGGAGATACGCTTATTTGGTGTCTTACCAAGAGTTAGACCAGAAGATCATGGCTGTAGTAAACATGAAGCTACCGTAAGCAGCTGGTTAGCCTAGCTTAGCACGCAGACTTCAAACAGGGGGATGGTTATCTCTCAGTAATTTAAACTATAAAAAGTTATATCTTCTTTCTTTACTCCGTATAAAAACCGTAAAAATTACACGTGTCTACAGGGGTTGTGTACATGTGCACTATTACTCTTACTCTGCTATTTGCCTGTGCAACCTCGTGATGATAATGAGACTATGTTTTTACATGTTTTGTACAGATTATATAAATGAGATATAACGTGGTAAATACTGAGCTTAATGGGCAAGTCTGTTTCCTTTCCTTTAGCTGTTTCCTTCTTTCCAGTCTAGCTGCTCCATTTTTTAAAAAAACCCTGCAGAGGTGCCTCTTGGATGCCCTTATGGTAGATAAAAACACAATAAAGTGCCCTCTAGGTTGCCCTTCTAGTGGAGAAAACAGTGTAAAGTGGCCTTTAGAATGCTAACCCTAACTAAGCTGTTTCAACATAAATGCATCATGACTTTCTGCTGGCTGGTGTCCCACCGCATGTCTTTCTAACTTTTAGTTTTTTGCCCCTGCCCCTCATTCAGCCTGAGTCCGCCACTGATACTACAAATAATGTCTTCTATAAAGCCTACTGAAGATGATAATATGAGGCCAGTGACGCACACACACACACACACACACACACACACACACACACACACTTCCATGGGATGAAGTGAGTTGTGTCAGAGGAGAATTAAAGGTGGATCCCTATGATACAATACAGAGGCTCGGTGAACTCAGAGAGATTTAGAGATAATGTTGGAGATGATAACAACACCTCCCAAGATTCACTGACATTTCCACATTTTCTTAAAGAATGAGCTTCATTTAAAAAAAAAAAAATAACTAAACTAAGTAATAATAGTAAAGCCTTGTACTGACTTCACAGTGTAAAACTGGATCATAATTTTAATGTCCTATGATCTTAATCCTGCTCAAAACTGGATTTCTGCAGATTACTGCCATGCTTTTAACCAATTTTATTGTGACACTAACTATATGTTCTATTATTATCATAAGTAATTGAAACTACAGATCCCCATCACTGATCAACAGATCCTTATACAAGCATTAATTACACCAGCATGCACACCAAGCTATGAGTTCTCCAACAGTTTCTCTTTATATGGCCATACAGTATGGTAAACATAGTTTACTGCACACTGCCATCTAGTGGTTAAGAGCTGGAAACACCAGGATGCACTGAGAAATTGTGAGGTTGGTCTGCACTGCCCTCCATCAAGAGCAAACTTAACTACCCTGAGTGAGCTCACCAGGGATGATGTTAGCATTTTGCAAAGAGTTTGTGCTGTGCAGAACTGTTTTGAGCAATACTGGAAGATAATTCATTGGACAGTGTCTCTTATAATCAGGTTTACAGCTACAGCACAGCATGGATGATATTTGGGCTGCTGTCAATCACCAAAATAGCAATGGAAACAGATATAATTATTTATTTATTTATATTTCTTTTTTCTTTTATCCCTCAAGGGTCTGTATAAATGTTCTCAGCTTCTGTGCTCAAGTTTCGTGGCCTCTGTAGTTTCCCCTACATGCTTGGAAGGGGGGAGGGTAAGGTAAACTGGTTGCAATCTGCAACTTCACCACTAGATTCCACTAAATCCTTCACACTGTACCTTTTAAGTCCTTTGCCTGTAAAATTTGCCAGCAGGCCTTTTACTGTCTAAATGGCAAACTATGAATTACTACCATCAAAACAAGTTTGAGTTCAACAGAGTGAAAGAGTGACTTTAACCTCTCAATGTAACTGTACATGGTACAATTGTTACTCTTTTTCGCAATCCAGCAGAAGACAAACATAACAGAGACTGTTGATCGAAACCCTGATGTTGAAACTGAGGCCAGTGACCTCTTCCCCTTTCCCTTGTCAGGCAGGCCAGCACTGTTTTGATTGGCCCTGGTCTTGAGCTCTAGGCCTTTGCATGAGTTAAGTCTCCAGCATCCACTTACAGCACGGCCAGATGGCTAGTGTGTTTGTGTGGGTCCATCAACTCTGAGGCTGTAAGCTAGATGACTGACTGACTGACTGACACCATATGCCTCCAGTTTAACGGAATGCATGTTATGAATATGGAAAATGTACTTGGTTTTTTAGCATATATTTGTATGTCTTTTGTGTTGTTCTGTGGGATTTCTGTACAATTTACTGATCGCACTGCAACCTTATTCACCTTATCACCATTGCCCAGTTGGTAAGACACCTGCTCATCTCTCTGGGCTGCTGAAACATAATGACACTCTAGACAAGTTCATATCAACTTACAGCAGTACAGTAAATACCTAAAATACCTCAAATCTAATTTTTAATGATCAAATAACAAAACGGCTTGCTAGCTGTATAAACAGTCAGACAATCATCATGTTTTGGTGAAATACTAACTGTTTGAACATACTAATGACTAGCAGAGAAGTGGATCATTGTGGTTTGAGGTGTTTCTATGTGTGTTTTTTCTTTTTCCATCGCACAATTTGAATAAATTGTAGCTGACATAATTCAAGCTGACCACATCCACAGCACTTTATGAAAAAGATCTTGTTTGTAGTGTAATTTTACTGGGTTTAAGAAATGAGTTATGAAATAAAACAAGGGTGTTTATCCTATAAGGTATTCCTTGTATCCACAGGTCAACTTCAACAGGGAAATGATCCATATGTGCATGCTTATCTTTGTAAACTAACTGTGAGGCCTATGTGCATTTAACTTGACTGTCTAATTACAATGAATCAATATCAGTTTACTTAGTAAGTAATCAGAGTTTAATGGATGTTAAGTAACCAAACCGATTCCTCCATGTGTGCACTGATACTGATAAATGTGGCAACCTGCAGTGTAAATGAATAGTAGTTTCCATGAAATTCTGCATACGATTTGTTGTGGCAGTCTCTCATTGTGCAGTTTCACCAACCTCTGTAACGTAAATGGCAAATGCGTGCAAAGAATAAACCTTAGCTCAACAAGTATTTGGTTTGGAGGCTTGCATTTAGCAGTGCTTACAGAAAATACTTACTTATTGCAGCTAAAATAGTTTTGTGTCTTTCTTTTTTCAGCAACTTCCTTCCAAGCAATGCAGCTGGAAAAGCTTTTTTTTGTTTTGAGAAAAGGGCATGACCAGCCTTTTTCTCCAAGTACACATAAAACCAGGGAGGGAAGCAGCAAATCTGGGCGATTTGACAGAGCGATATCCAGTGTTGCTCTGGGAATTATAGGGAATCACTATCTGAAGCATTGAGGGAAGATTTATACAGTACCACAAAAAGGCCAATAGTCTACAAAATAATGTATTAGATCATTAGATTATCTTAATAAAGAGTTGATCCTTATTTTCAAAAAGGTCAGCACATTCTGTCAACGACTTTCAGATTTCTACTTCACATCAAGCACATGCCTCTTACCATGTCTTTGAAAGCATTCTCGATGGCGCCGATCACCAAGCTCTCGTGTGAAACCTTCTTCTCAGTAAAGAAGCGTGTGGGTGGGGTGCTGGGTGAGCCCGGGGCCCCTGCAGCACCACGGAGCGAGGCGGCCCTGGTGAGGGCGCGTTGGGATGTCGGGGTGAGGTGGTGATTGATAGGCTCCTCTCCCAGGCACGTCGGGGGCAACAGGTTTGGAGTGCAGAGGATCTCCGTCACCTCCTGAAGGTGCAGGGCGATGTGGTGATGTAGAAGGCGGGAAGCCGCTACAGCCACCCCAGAGCCAGCGTGACCATCGAACAGCGCCCAGTAGTGCAAGGTTAGGTCTTCAGAGCCATCCTGGATACAGCCAAACATACATCAGACACAGAGACATTCATCAATTGTGTCAATATTTGCCTCAGCAGGTTGTATCATGTAAGCAGAGGAGTTTGTCAGACCTAGCATTCACACTGATCGTCCAACTAAGAACTAGGGAAATCTATTTATGCTAACTCATCCAGTGTGTGACGTTTGTCAGCTGAGAATACTAATATGATTTCTTGTCTTTAACAGTTTCTCTAATCAATCAGAAGTTGATAACAGCCAATCAGTTTTTTCTAATCTCATCTCTCTGGATGATTGGACAACAGCTGCATCCCATATTAGGGTTTATGAGTATTGTCAATTACAAGATACAGTATATATTATTATCAGAATCATTAAAAAGTAACACCTCATTATCAAAAGTTATAAAAGTGTGAATGTGGGGTAATTCAAAGCTTCCTTTCTCCTTGCAGTCATATGTGATATTGCTGTGGTTCCCAACCTGGAGGGACCCACCAATGTCAAGATACTGTAAATCTCAGGAAGAAATAAGGTTATGTTTTCTTGTGACTTTTCTCTAATACTTGCTTTTTGATTGTGAAATACTGGATTGTTTTACTTCTTGAGGCCTCTGAAATCTAAAATGAACTGATGGAACTGCAACCGACAACCGGTGGTGGGGGGTTATGATTAGATGTGTAAAGGGTCAAGGTTGGGAACCACTGATGTACCTCTGTCTCAGTGACCAGAAGAATATGAGTCCCTGTTCAATACCATGTTAGACCAACATTACAGCTGAGTACAGCTCTAACAGAGACTCAAACAGGAAGCTGTACGGTCTAGGTGTTAAAGCCAACTCACGCAGACATCAGTGCTTCTCACGGTCCCCAAAGTGAATGGGTGAAAGGCCCATTCTCCCAACACTGCATTTAAAATCATCTCATTCTGTAGGATGTTCAGTGGAAACACTTTTATCATTAATGTATGCTCTGAGATCAATGCTTCAATCTGCAGGTTTTAATAGACCCAGCATGATGTGTGTTTGCACTCCTTCTGTGTTCATCTACAAAGTGCCACCTCTCACATAAAAGATTAAAAGATTAGACAAAGTGTCTTATGATCCGCTTCATTCATTGCACACCTTTGAGTCTGCCGCCTTCAAAAAGTGCATCAGCTCTATGATGGAACCACGAACCAATGGTCATGCTTATTCAAAGTGTGTTAGATAAAAATGAACTCCATTCTTAGTATTTTAAGTCACATATAGTAAAAGTTCAGACATGGAGTTGCAGTTCCACACATCTCATCATAGCGTGAACCATATTTAAAGTGAAAAAGAGAGGGCAGGGTTTATGCTGCATTTTTCTGGTCACTGAGCGTAGATCATTGATAGCACATATTTTTACACACACACTAAAGCTCTGATTTTCAAATATAGTGCAGGCAGATTCTAAAACATGAGCCTATGAAGCAAGCAAAGAGCACTAGAAAGGCTCTACACTACTCTTATTGGTCTAGTATCACTGCAGTAGTGAGTCATGGGGTACTTGCATGAGTTTGCTGTAGGCTCTGGGTGGGCCTGAGTAAAGGACTGGTGGGCTGAGAGGAAATTTTAGTAGCAGTATTACTTCATATAGACACATATTGCCTTTGGAAATTAAAATCACAAATGGCCTTTTTATGAATGGGTAGAGATGAAAGAACTATGAGGGAATACAGAAATGACAAGTGTGCATGGCAAATCAGACAGACAAAGTGAAACACTGCAGATAGACATCGGCATGGGTTAATAGTTTTTTTTCAGCCTTGCAGAAAAAAGGGGACAGAGTCACCATTGTTAGTAACTGACTTAACTGTGTCAGCATACAGCGTGAATGTATTACACTGCCCCACAACGGCGGTGAGTTTACGTTTCACAACTCCACATGCGGAAGGACACGAGGTTAATTTTAAAGCCTATTCGTGTGTTTCTGTGAGCGAATGCGCTCGTAACCCTGCCCACATTAGTGGCTGTCAGGAGCTGTTTGAGGCCAATGTGGTGTGTAAAGGACGCTGCGCTGTATGCCCCAATAAACCGCTGATGGGACGGGATGAGGGGACAGTGGGTCCCAACAGAAGGCCCCAGGGACTTTCGAGGGCTACATCCACCCTGATCATTACCTGGATTTCATCAGTGAGTAAATGCTAGTAAATGCAGAAGCTTCCAGTCTGTGACGAGTATAACCATTTTATCAAAACGTTAGCAAGAGCATTCGATTTTAAATTCTTGAGCTGAAGTATAAAAGTCAGCTCTTATTTGTTCTTAATTCCATTTTTGCTCTAAAAATGTGAGACATTAAAAAATAACATAACTTGCGGGATTAATCTTTTTAGAAGAATTTTTTTTATTTCAAATACCCAGAAATCAGGATGCCTTTATTCTTTCTGTCAGTATGTGATTATTTCTAAGGATAACAAATGGACAAGGGAGGCAAAAGAAGACACTACGTATGTATTTTGTTCTCAAGTATTAGCTCATCACTTCCAGAATGTCATTGAAGTTGTATACAGTGGAAAAGGTGGATACTTCCTTAAGAAACCAGACTCATTAGTTTGACTGACCAGGCACTCCCGGGGGCCCATACCCTCTCCATTGGGCAGGGAAGATCTTCTGCGTGTCAGGGGGGTTCGGTTGGGCGTGGAGCTTCCTGCAGGTCTTCGTTTGACCACCAGCACCTCACAGCAGGCCTGGTCCTCATTTAACGTGCTCTTTCCTGCATTGATCACCCTTGACAGAGAGGAGATAAAAAAGTGACATTTTTTATCATAATCATAATAATACAATGCTAATTCAATATCCTAACAAAGCCTGATGGATCTGAGGGATGAACTATTTCCAAGGCATCAGTTGTCATCTCCACTCACATCATTTCAAGCCCTCCCTTCTATCAGAAACAGCACAGTTCAGTAACAGCTGCGTCTTGGATTAAAGCTACACAGAAATTCTGCATTTATTACTGCTGAGATCTTACACAATTTAAGTGGTTCAATGACTTCCTAAACATTTCAACTGAAGCTGTGGCCTTTAATCCATCAGACGTTCTTAGGGACTATAATACCCTTCCTAACTAAATTTAAGGAGTGTGAAAGTTTCCCCCTTATGACAGCAGTTTAGTTTTGATAAACAAAGTGAGACAATGGGGGGGAAAAAAGTTAGCATATACACATTCTTTAAATACACATTTCAATTTGAGACCCATGCATGTAGGGCAGAGGACAGAAAAACACATAAATACTGCATTATACAACACCTGGCAGATGGTGCACTGCTGCGAGCTGCTGTAGTCATGGACAAGTACACGCTGCTTTACAATACTCCAGGCATTCTCAATTTAGCCACACCGTAGGAGATGTTAAGTCTGCAGTGGCCCTATTAAAACTGTGCAAATCTCAAAGCTCAAGAGGTTAGATAAGCAAGCGGCACACGAGAACAGAATGCTAAGTATATCTACAAATATATATTTTTGTGGTAATGTGTGACTTTTTACTTTTCTGCTGTCCCTGCTGTCAACAGGTGACTGTTTGATGTCATATTATTATTATGCTTAAAGATGTAGAGACTGGTACGGTTATTCATGTCTCATGTCAAATAAATGAGAAATTATAAGGCCACATGTTGATATGAGGGGCTGTCATGATTTCTTTCCAATGGAGGATCTTATGAAAATAATCCTAATTGGTCATGGGGATGAACATGCAGAGCAGAGATCCCCCATCTCCAGCTAAGAAAACACTGTCGGTTGTAAAACTGACAGGATATTGACTGGGCAGACCTTCACTGAGTAAGATTGATTTTAATTGGAGTCTTACACAATGGGCTGTTCACCACTTCCCTATCCTAAAACCTAAGAATAGCACACTCCCTGTAGTGTGTCAATAAGACAGGGCTAAAGGAAACACTCAATCTGCCTACACAGCTACCCAGCTATTATTGTGAATCCACACCCACCTACGTAAGCATGCTGCATGGCAAGATGCTCAGTTTTGCATCAGACTAGTGCTGAAAGCAATTAATTAATTAGTCAAAACAAAATTATCGCCAACACATATATAATACCCAATTTATAATTTAAGTCATTTTTCAACAAAAAATGTCAAATATTTGCTGGTTCCATTTTATCTTTGCTGTTTTGCAGACTAAATGATTAATTTAAAAAACAATTAACACTAACACATTAATTGAAAATGTAATAAATAATAATACAAAATAATGTTCATTAATTGCAGCCCTTGATCAGCACTTTACAAACCTCATCATTGACAGCGAAGGTAACATAAATTCAATTTACTGAACTTGTGCATGTTGGTCACTTGTTGCTGCACTGATTTTATAGTTTATTGTTGATATTCTAGTCCTATCTGCAGCTGAGGCAGCATTGGCACACATAACCAAGGGGGAATATCTGTAGTGAATCTGAAGTTCAACAGGCCTTTTTTTACAGGAGACATTCTGACCTCCTGTCAAACACAGGTGTTACTAATAACATTATTGACTGCTATACTTGCAAGTAAGGGGCCATTGTTAATGTTAGTAGTTCCACCTGAGCTTTTCCTGAAAGTTAAAATCTCTGCTGTGAAAACAGTCTGAATATGGCTTCAAGATTCAAGTTAGCAAGTTTTTTTTTTTTTTTCTTTTCTCAGAATTCACAGTAAAATGTAAATCACAAGGTGGACAACTTTTTAGGATGAGTTAGATGCAGACTGCATGTGACAATAAAGCTCCATTCTATTCTATTCTGTGTCTGTATTTGTGTGACGCAAGCTGTAGTAGTTTCCCTAATATTGTTATGGTAATAGTATATAACTTTTTCAGCTTCCATGATGTACACATATTAGTTCTTTAAGCCCACTTTTAGCTTTCAAACGTATCCCACAGTCTTCATCAACAGTTGTAGGACCCTCCATGAATTCTCCATGACAACTGTGCAAACTCCACCCACAGAAAAAGACAATGAGATGTGGTTGAGAGGTCCAGAAAAGAGAAACTCCACAAACTACTATTTCTACGGTCAGGAATAAACTTTCATACTCAAGCTGTTAAGTCTTATCAAACCACACACACACAGTCCTTATGAAGCAGTTGAGTTTTTAAACAGTTATCACCAATTCTCAATCATTTATAACAAATTCAGTTTTGTTTACTTTAACAATGATTGTCGCGTTAGTGAGATTTAAAACCAAGTTTTCAAGTTTTTTACTGAAGACTTTTTTTAACATAGCGGATATTTTTAGATTCTGCCTTCCAGGCAGCACTTGGTTTCAGCTCATGCCAGTTCACAAATCTAGAGGCTTATATTTAGAGTTTTCCCACCAGTGTGAAATGATGGTCTGCAAATTGGCCAACAGTAATATCAGTATAGAGTGTATATTATGTGTAGTTAATAGGTTAAAATATGCAAAACCAACAGCCAGTCCCATTAACTGCTTTCCCTAACTTCATATGATGAAAAGAGGCCACAAACTTGATGCACCATCACGTGAGACCAAAGCACTGCAGGGAGTGACGTTCATTTGACCCTGGAACATCACAAGATCAACAACAGTTGAGCTTTCGAGCCTTTCATCTCTGACATGAGAGGAAAAGCCATCCACGCCCCGAGGCACGAGCTGTGTCAGAGAGCAGGGCTGTCATATTCGCTTATCTCATTTCATTTTTTCACATTTGAGACAATGGCATGACCTTAATTACCCCGTCAGAGCTGTAATCCACCGTGTGCCTTCTTTTTGGGAATTGAAGATTCACTCCAAAGGCATTGTCAGACTCTACCAGGTTTATTTTAGGGACATTATGATATTATATATTTGCATAATGGACCATGGGAATACTTTTCCACTCAGCTATATAGAAAATACAACAATGCCATAATAGTTCAACAAATGTATTGATTAGTTGATCAACAATTGTTTAAGTCATATATAAAGCAAATATTTGCAGGTTGTTTTTTTAAAGGATTTGCTGTTTTATTTGCCAGTTTTAAATCTTAGTCAAACAAAACAAAAACTTTTAAGACGTTACATTTAGGGATGTAAGTAGACACTCAACTCACAATTCGATACAACTGACGATACTGGGTTCATGATATCATTTTCATTTCGTGGAAACCAAAAAGCTGCCACACCTCCGATTTTAAAGAGGATGGTGCATCCTCAAGCCTTCACCTGTGGCCCCTGTGTATTTTGGCCTTGATACAGCTGCTGACACGAGTGACATAGGAGATTCAACAAGCAAAGTCAATATAGTCGATAACTCCCTGTTTAAAAAGAATATCACGATTCAGTTCATCTCACCAATTTGAGTTTCCGCATATTTGTAACGTAATTTCACTGTCATGCCATATATCATTACATTTCTAGTCACGTTGGGCTCTGGGAACACCATTTGTAACATTTATAGACTGAACAATTCTTTAGTTTTTTTTCCATAAATACTGAATACTATTGAATTATGTACTGCCTATACTGTAACAGATATCCTACATTCATCCAGCACTTAATTCAATGTATCTTTTGTATTTTATCAAATCCTGTTTAAAGTTCCATAAAAAATAATCACATTTCCAGATGAACACATTTAGGTTTATTATAAACCTATCTACATACTGTATCTTTAATCTTTCTGTATATGCAGCATGAGATTCCTGTTGACAAGAGAATGAGAACAGAACATTATATTCCTTTACTGCAGCTGCTTTTATATATTGTATATTTACATCCATCATTTGATTTTCTTTAATAACTTCTTATTGCATATTTCATCTTTGTTTAGATAATCCTTCTCTGATACACTTCTTTGTTTTCTATTTTTATCTGTATGTCTTATGCTTGTTTTTTATGCTAATGTGCTTCCTGCTGCAACATCTCAGTTCCCACAAACAGATCATTTGAGAGAATGCTGAAGATGATCCTATGATGAGATTAACCACGTCTGTTCAATGGTAACTCATAGTTAAAGTACACGAGAGGAAAGCTGGCACTGAACTGAAACAGTGTTACGTTGTTTCTGCCTCAGAGCGATGTGCCGGCTTGATGTAGCAGAGACAACACAAGAACATGTGCTGTATCATGTGATTGAGCACTGGAAAGCTTATGTAAAAAGTGCTGCTCATGTGCTTCATATCCTCTTGTGACTTACTGTAATTTAGCTCCTTTAAAATGGAAAAATATCAAAACATAGCAGAAAAGACTGAAGAAAAGACTCTATTATGGGTAAACCTACAATAAAAATAGAATGACAACATACAAATATGCATTTAACCCCCACTTCACACGGAGCTGCCACTTTCTCATCTCTGTTCCCATAACTTATATATACCATTGATGAGAATGCCTACAGCAGCTTAGACAGCATCTAAGCCATAACACAGACATGCCCTTTCACACTTGCATTGTCTGGTAACCTGCAGGCAAAACATACAGAGCACACTGGTGGTGCGAGTGTTTAGCTTACAGACACGCATATTGATTAAGTATTGATCGGACTGCGTCTGAAGTTGCAGGGTTATGTGTTATTGGTACTGGGTCAGTAGAGGTGAGAGTGAACTAATGGAGTGGTAAAAGCTTTGTCACAACTGGAGTAGAGGGGGAGCAAAGGTGAAGCCCATTTGGGATCTTGCTACACTATTATCAAAATTGGATCTTTAAGTGGCTCTCACAGATTCTCTCCTTCCAGCTACTTTAGAAAATAATTGTCTTTCCACCACTTCTTTTAGGGAGACACAATGTGGACTT